TTTTTTAAACCATAATTTCTTTATCTCTTGTGAATTAATTTCTTAAGTTTTGAACTATTACATGCTTAGTATTGAAATTTTTACAAGTATGCTTATGTGTTTCAAATATGAAATTTGTAACTTATATAGTAATGATGTGTTAAGTGATTTAAATGCTTAAATTGAGCTCCTCTAAATGTTGGTTGCTTTTATGTGCGCAAAACTGAGAAATTAATAATTGTAAAGATGATATTATAGTTGTTTATAAAACTGAAATTCCAAACTAATTTAACTCAACTATGGAATTGTTTTTAGGTGAGCTTGTTATTGTTATTGTTGTGTTTCAAAAACTGAAATTTTGGCTTCTAGGATGGTGCTTAATATGAGCTTAGAAAACTAAAATTTAAGATTCCTAAATGTTGGTTTTGTTTTGTGTTTAAAACTGGAAATTTCTTACTCATTTGTGTTGTGTAAAGTAGCATGGACGCCGAAATCAATATTTGTTGCTTCTGTTTAAATCACCTTAGTTGTGCCGTTGATTTTCTGTAAGAATGATCATATTGTTGTGTTTTAAAAACTGACATGTTAGTTGTTATCATGGCATGACTTATAATCATAGTGTTTGAAGTTGAATTTATCATGTTTACAAGACACTGAAGTCATGTAAGGGTCATACATTACATTGGGCATGAAATAGGCAAAAATAGATTTTTGAAATGAAGGAAGTTATGTTTTGAAAAGAAAACAAAATGATTTTTGGGAAAAATGATTGAGGCATTGGATGGAATTTTGAAAAAGAGGGAGTCATTGGCACCTAATTAGCATTGAAATCCATTGCATCCATGAGATTACATTATGTGACGACTATTAATTCCCGAATAAGCATGAACTCTTTCCTTGTCGCTATTCTTTGTTTGGATTCACGGAAGCATTAAGGAGTGCATTTTAGGCATCTTCTATTGAGCCGTTGTGCTCACTCCTTACTATTTTTCAGGTTATGGAAAGGTGGTTATGGAATACATTTCTCCACAAGCATAGACGAAACTAGAGATTATGAGTTGTGATATCTTTTGTTGTATAAATGTTTATATTGTAAATTCTTGACTTATACTATGTAAGAGCTATATGAACTTTGGCTTTGTAATGTAATGAAGTATCCTTAAGACTTGTAATTATGGACTCTAGAAACTCTATGTTTTGAATATATAATGGGGCAATGAATGCATGATAATGCAAGTTCATTTTGAATCTTTAAGTACTTGATTTTTTATGTATAATGATTTCATGTGGTTATAAACTGTGGATTATATATTTGGGGACAGGTTTGAGGGGTTTGAGATGGACTTATAACTAAAGGGGTACCTTAGAAACCATGCCATGGCCAAAGTATGGCTTTGTGCTCGAGCATAGGGCTTAAAATGGTGAAATCCTAAAAGTAGTTTTCTGCACTTTGACCCAAACTTCAAACAACCATAGCTCCCTCATTTAAAACTCAAATTGGGTCGTTCTTGAGTCTAAACTAACCGGCTCGAAGTCAGCTTTCCATGGTACTAATTCCAGTCATAGATTATATTTGTGGAGATAGTTATGGCTTCTTTAGTGTAGACTACTCCAAAAATCTTTGGAACTAAAAGGTGCAATTGTGTGAAACCATCATTCTTATGTTTTGAACCTTGTGGCATGAGCCCAAATGACCAATTAGACTTATGTTGACATTGTATGACTCACTTAGAGTTATCTCATTCACTTTCATACCTTGAGTTAGCCATTTTACCCATGGGTGTTTTTGGGTTTGAGTAAGGACCCAGTTAGCATTTCGGACCCCAGGTTCGGGTCGTGACAAATAGCTTGATGTCATGACTGTTTTTTTTTGCATGGTGAGTTGGAAGTGCAGATTTATATGCATCAGCCTGAGGAGTTTGAGATTCTGGGAAAGGAAGATCATATTTGCCTACTAAAAAAGTCCTTACATGGGCTGAAGTAATCTCTTAAACAGCAATACAAGCATTTTGACACCTTTATGGTTGGGGATGGCTGTTGTAGGAGTAAGTTGACAGTTGTGTGTATCACAGGAAGCTCTCAAATGGTTCGTATTTGTACTTGTTGCTGTATGTTGATGACATGTTGATAGCTTACAAGAACATGTCTGAAATCAACATATTGAAGGCTTAGCTTAGTGGTGAATTTGAGATGAAGGATCTTGGTGCTGCAAATAGGATATGGGGAATGGAAATTCACAGGGATAGAGGAAGGGGCAAATTGTATTTGTCACAGAAAAAATACGTTAAGAAGGTGATGGAATGTTTCAGTATGCAGACATCAAAACCTGTGAATACTCCATTGGCTACCCACTTTAGACTTACAGTATGATTGTCACCACAGATCAAGGAGGAGGTGGAACACATGTCTCGTGTTCCTTATACTAATGTAGTTAATAACCTTATGTATGCTATGGTGTGCACTAGGCCAGGCATTTTATATACAGTTAGTGTAGTGAACATATACATGGATAGACCTGGGAAGGTCCATTGACCGGCTGTAAAGTGGATATTACGATACTTGTGAGGCACTGCAGATGTTGGGTAAGTCTATGACAAAGGTAGCGACACGTATGGGAGTGTTGCTGGATATATTAATTTGGATTATACTGGAGATCTTGATAGGAGGAGGTCCTTGATATGGTATGTCTTCACTCTTTGTGGGAGTGTGATCAGTTGGAAGGCGACTTTGTAGCCCGTAGTTGCATTGTTTACTACTGGGGCTAAGTATATGGCAGCTACAGAGGCAGTGAATGAAACTCTATAGTTGAGAGGCTTGGTTGGTGATTTGGGCTTGCAGCAGAATGATTTGACTGTGTTTTGCGGCAGCCAGAATGCCATACATTTGATTAAAAATCAGATGTTCCATGAGAGGACCAAACGCATTGATGTCAGGATTCACTTGATCAGAGATATGGTTGCACGGGGTGCTTTTAGTAAGGAAGATTGGGACAACAGAGAATCCGGTAGATATGATGACTAAGGTTAATCCTACACTCAAGTTCAAACATTGTCTGGACTTGATTAGTACTTGCAGTTGCTGAGGCCCTCAGGGGCATGTAGAGGCAGCGAAAGGAATAGTTGTAGATTGTGGAGCTTGGCGTAATTCGAGCTAAGGTGGAGATTTATGATATCATGGCCTTAATTTGGTGTTGGGTCGCGTTGCGACCCGCTTATAACCCGGCGACTCGTTGGATGAGCTTTGTGTGGGCCCAAGCTTTTTGTGATATTGTGGCCTGGATTTTTTAACCCGTTTTTCGCTCATGGGTCGTGGACCCTAATTAGTCTCTTGTAACCCAATATATAAGGGCACTTAGCGTTTGGAGTGGGGTAAGAGAGAAACCTTGAAATTTATATAAAAACAGAGTGAGGGGCTGAAAACTTGTAATCTTCGATTTTACACACAGTGAAAACTTTCGCCGGATTCCAACCGTGGACGTAGGCTGTTGCTAAACCACGTATAAATCTTTGTGCTCTTTGTATAGTATGTTTAATTTTCTATTGTGATTCTTTATTCAACTTGGATTCGTTGCGTTTGTCATAATAATTTTTATTGTTTTAGTTATGGGATTATTTTATTAAGGTCCGTGATATACGGATTTCCAAGTTGTACTTTGAAGGATTATTTACGTTTGGAATTTATTGGATTTATCTTGAGATTGGTATCAAAAGATTATATAATTATTATTTAGTTTCTCCTTTTCGGCGATATTATTTATTTATTTTTATTTCATTTGTATTATGTGTTTATTTATTATTAATTGTTTGATATTATCCATTTTTGGACGAATACTTGATTAACTCGCGTTCGGAAATTAGGGGTATCACACGAAGTATGGGATCTTATCTATTGTGTTGATAGTAGACATTTTTTATTTTTTTATTTTTCTGAATATTAATTTAGGAAACTTTAAATAAGGAGTAAGTATAATAGTGATTTTGTTGGATTAGGAAATGAGATTGGGGGTTTTGTAATATGGACTTGGATCCTCTAAGTTAAATATTCCCTAAGTTATCATAAGTTGAATTCGGTACAGAATGACACGTAACATTAAAAACCTATCTACTGCTAGTGTTAAACCTATCTACTGCTGATGTTAAACCATGTCAACTAATTTAAAGAAACTTTGAAAACTACACCGTTTTAAAATAAGAAAAATTTACCAAAGTTTAAAAATTGCATCGTTTTGAATCAAGGAAAATTTACCTAAGTTTAAAAACTATATCATTTTAAATTAAGGAAAATTCACCATACTCTAACGACGTTTAATATCATTATCTCTCCATCATCTTTTCCAAAAAAAAGATCCTCTATCTCTCTCCTCCTTATTCATATCTGAAACAAGTCGTGTCTCTGTTTTTTTTTTTAAATAGTAATACTCACACAACCCTGGTTCCAAATAATTGCTTGCACGATTTTTTTTTGGAAAAGATGAGGGAGAGATAACGATGTTAAACGTCGTTAGAGTATTGTGAATTTTCCTTAATTTAAAATGGTGCATTTTTTAAACTTTGGTAAATTTTTTATATTTCAAAATGGTGCAGTTTTGTGGTTTAACATCAACAGTAGATAAATTTTTAATGTTACGTGTCATTCTATAGCGAATTCAGCCTACTATAACTTTGAGAATACTTAACTTTGAGGATCCAGGTTATTGTAATATGACTGTAGGATTATATCTAACTGTTATTATACATAGCGTGAGTAAAATTTCTTGCTCCACGGTGAACAAGCAATTATCACACTCTCTCTCTCTCTCTCTCTCTCTCTCTCTCTCTATATATATATATATATATAAAACGTCATACATTTGGGCTCATCTCTTCTTTTTAACTTAAAAAGTTTTAGCTCCATTCAAACTTAACCCGGCCTAATCCAAATTAATGTAACACCAACACTTTAAAATGAGGACAGCCCAAACCCAAGCAAATTAAACAGCCCATAACCAAGCCCATATTCTGGAGCCCATCTATATAAACCCTTCGTCTTTCCATCCATTCCTAACAGTACCGCTTCTCAATTCTCTGCAACAATTCTCTGCGTCCCTTGCCGCTACTGCTCTCTCCATCGCTAACTCATGCTTCTCTGTCACAATCCTCTGCGTAATCTCTCTCTGCCATGAGAGGATGGTGAGGATACTATGGCAACATCGGAACGTTGATGACTACAACGATCCAGGTATTTTTCTATAGCTGTATAGACTTCTCTGTATCTATGTGTGTATTGTAATATATGTGGGTTTGATTTCTTTGTATCTGTATATGTGTGTCTATTGTATATGAATCTATGATACACGTGGGTTTGTAAGCGAGCTCCGACCTCGAGTAATACTGAACTGCGTTCAAACACCAAGATGGAAGCTCGAGTCGAGCTCGAGCACCCTGTTACAAACCTGAGCCGAGCTCAAAAATTCCACTACTCGGCTTGGCTTGGCTCGTTTGCCGCCTACCCTCTATTTGGACCAGCATCCTCGCTGGCGTGGACCCGATGGGTTTGTGCAAACTCCTTCATTTTCGACGGGGATTGACTGTGATACCTATAGATACCTGGTTCTCGTCGGTTGAATAGTCAAAGAGAAGAGGTCTGGGAATATATCACCAAGCAATATGAGAAATGCAGAAAGGTGGAAAAAGGGAGAGAAAACCAGTCCAGTCAGAGAATTGGAGCAATGGTAGGGAAGAAGCTGTTGTTAGTTCCTACCTCCTTTTTTCGTCATTACCCTCTTTTTATAACTCTAGGTCATCCAGGTGGTACATTGTTGGGCCTCCATGTTGAGAATGGGTCAGGGTCATTTCCTTTTTGGGTCATGTTGCCCTAATCCCTACATTTTTGGATCCATTGTCAAGTGTACCTTTCCTGGTGAATAATCCAAAAACGGCAGGCTGTAAAGGCAATTGTACTATTCCAACTGTCTTTTGCTCTTATTCTTAGACTGGGTCTTGCCTTAGTGGGCAAGACATTACTAATTTTCCATCCTCCATTCCAAAATACCTTATGCGTCCCAATGTCATTTGAAGAGCCCTACCATAACTCTTCGTTGCTTGGATCGAGGTTCGACGCCCACCGATCGATGGTTCATGGTAATGTCAAATCGAGGTTCAAGGCCCGTCGATCGACAGATTATAAAAAGTCGGATCGAGGTTTGAGGCCTGTCGATCGACAGATTGTGAAGGTCAGATCGAGGTTCAAGGCCCGTCGATCGGCAGATTATGAAAGGGTCGGATCGAGGTTCAAGGCCCGTCGATTGACAGATTGTCAAAGGGTCAGGTCGAGGTTCAAGGCTCGTCGATCGACAATTTGTGACTCGGATCAAGGTTCAAGGCCCGTTGATCGATGATTTATGATTAATAGATCGAGGTTCAAGGCCAATCGACCGACAGATTGTCAAAAGGTCAGATCGAGGTTCAATGCCCGTCGATCGACAATGTATTAGATTCAAGGCCCGTCGACCGAATGTAGGGCTAAGATTGAGTCCAGTGATCAACTATCACATGCTTTGCTGAGGTGGACTTTGTCAAAGTGTTGACTATTTGACTTGGCCCTTGGTGACGTGGCTAGACCACGTCCACATTTAGTCCCCCTGCACGTGGCGTTTTTGAATTTTGAAATAAAAGGATAAAGCGGCGCGTGCATAGAAACGTAATAATGTCTTGCTTTGGAAACCGATGTCTTTTCGGCGACTGTCAGTTATGTATTTAATGGGGAGGTGATGAGACACAACTGTTCGGTGTCTTCGTCTTCTCCAAGACTCTAACTGTGATCTATATATATAGAACCAGGGCGGAGAGAGGGGAAGCCATTACAGAAAGAAAAGAGAAAAAGGAAAGGCTGTGCCAGGTCAAGGAGCAAAGTGAAGTGAGCGTACTGTGTTAAACAAACGAGTGTGTGAGGGCAGCAAAGCTATTACTGTGTAAGAGCGGGTAAGGTATTCGAGAAAATGACAAAGAGAAAGCAGTTGAGCAAACCCGGTGAACCAGCGCCGGAAGTACCGCCGGAGGAGGAATGGAAGAGGGCTCCGTTCTTTTGGCCCATGGATAGGTTCTGGACCGCCGGCAGACTCTGTGCACCGATTTGCCATTGAACAAGAGATGTATTCCTTTTGTTTTATGGAGTTTAAAACGCCAGTGGGCCCATGTGCAGGATGGGAGGAGTGGTCTGAGCACATCTTCAGCAACAAAATGTATATGCTATGGCTGCGACAAGCACGAGTTGCGCGAGCTATGCGTCTGTCCCGCAAATTGAAAGTGCCGCGCGATATCCCAGGATTGGAATTGCTAGTGTCGAGATGGTGTAGTACGACCCACACGTTTGTGGCGAAGTGGGGAGAATTTACGCCTACATTGGAAGACATGGCCCAATTACTAGGCCTGCATGTCATGGGTAGAGGGTATACAGTACCCCTGACGATGGATGAAGCAGAGAAGGGTATCATGACTGCATTAGAGGAAGGGTTGGAGAAGACCAAGAGTTATGGGTCCTTTTTTAATGCGAAGGGGGCTAAACGCGAAGAGAGAGTGGAAGGAGCCAGAAAATGTACAACAGGTGCCTGGATACGCTACTGGTTCAAGGACCTACAGCTTTCCTTCAAGGGGGACAAGTCCGAGCGTCCCTTTGTTGATGGAGACAAGATTGGACATCCTGCAGAGCTCGCAGCATATATACTGTGCTAGTTGTCCAAGTATATATTCCCAGGGACTCAGACGATGCACCCTTGAGTCGATGGTGTCTAGTAGCGGTGAAGATAGCAAGTGGGATTGCGATCCCACTGGGGCCGTTATTCTTGGGAACACTGTACCATCGATTGGACATGATTGCTAAGGATATCACGCGCTCGACTGGCCGCTACCCCATGGTGTCCTATGTAGCCAGTGGTTTTTTACAGATGTTCTTGTACTAGAGATTCCCCGCGTATAGCCCTTTACCCTTGGAATTGAGTGACCATGGGGCACGAGGAAGACGTTGGTCAGGGGCAGATGTGCAGGCGAGCACTTGGGGAAGTGATAGACTCCGAACGAGAGTTTGTGTTCAGGCCCTATCGAGAGGAGATAACAGGGGTGGCGGACATGGGGATCTATTGGGAAGATTCAAGAGTGATCACACCAAGGCAAGAAACGGGGGATGCAGATGAGCAAACTTTTGCCTTGGTGGTGCTGCCAGGACATCTGCCCGGGTGATTTGAGCTGGGTGATGTGAGCAAAGTGTACAACCCAAAGCGGGTACCCAGGCAATTTGGCTATGATCAAGGGGTTCCAAGCGACTGTGGCTTGGAAGAAAGATTTGATGAATTTGACAAAGTCTTATTCCGGTATAGTGTACTATACGACCTATCCGAGGAAGAAACTGGCAGTATCGTGATTCCTTCGCGAAATCGCCACGGGGATATAACAGGAAAATACACGCAATTTTGGGCAGATTGCGTGGGTGCCTTCAGGAGGTTTTGCCTGCAGACTCCTCGTCTTTTTGCTCCCATGCCTATATACAAGGATGATGTGTCCCTACGCATGCTTAGGCCAGGAGTGCGAGGCCATAGATCGATAATGCTCCTTTGGATGCAGAAATGGGCGATGTAGCGTATGATGCGGTGCCCAAGGTGTATGTATCCGTTGCACCCGTCGAGCCAAGAGCAGATAAAAAGGCATCGACGGAGGCCCAGTCCAAGAAAGTGGTCAGTGAAGAGCCGATTGCTGACCGGAGACGGCAAAAACGGAAAGCTTCAGCAATCCAAGTGTCAGAGGATGAAGAGTCAGTTGGGGAGACAGAAGAAGTGGTGGAGCTCAGTAGTGATGATGCCTCGCCGAGGGTGGAAAAGGGGAGACGGCGGAGGCATAGAGCGCGGGCGAAAAGTTTAGTGGAGGTGTCAGAGATTGTAAAGAAGACGCCGATAACCATCTTGCATATGCCACGAGTGGAGAAGTCCTCGATACCAAAATCATTGATGCCCCCACTGCTATTAGAATACCCGGGTGAGGGGGCATCCAATGCGAAGGAGGAAGAAGAGGTAGCAGAGGAAGAGCAGGCCTCAGGAGACACCGTAAGGTTGGAAGATATGGAAGCAGAGATACAGATGGGCCCTCACGAGGTGGAAGTGCTGCAATCGCAATCTTCCCTGGAAGGCTCAAACAGTACCTTAAATAGGCGATTGTCGGGCGAGGAAACTGAAAGTGGCAAAAATAGTGGGATAGGTGGAGTGCCCCCAGTCTAAGAGAGGCAACAGAATGGGGTGGATTGTGCCATGGTTGCGACAGAGGAGACAGCCTGGCGAGGGGTACTGATCGGGGCACACTTCATCCCTTTGCTAGAGGCGGCGAACCGAGCGCAACCAGCGACGGTGGAGGCGATCGGAAGGAGACATCCGATGACATCTGATGTTCCATCGCTTTGGGTAAGAAGCCTTGGGGCGAGTACTCGAAATATTTGCAAGTGTGGCACGAGGGGAGGGGTCAGATGAAGTAGTGCAAGAGGCCCGCGAGCTAATTGAGTTGCTCAAGGATCGAGTGGAAATAGAATGGCTGAACAAGAGACTTGACGCTTGCGAGCGAGTGGTAGGGCAAGCTCTCCTGGCAAAGGAGATGGCAGAGTTAGATGCCCGAATTGCGCGAGACAGGCGTATGATAGAGGAGATTCAGGCTCGCCTGGCGATGGCAGAACAACAGCGGGCTCTGGTAGAAGAGACATACAACGAGCTTGGTGGCGATGTAACCATTCTGCTAAGTTATGAGTAGTCTAGTGATTGTAGATTAATGACCAGCAGGTCCATTATGTACTAGCTTTTGTTAATGAATGAAAGTTGAGCAATTATAGAAATGGTGTGATAATAAACTTGCATATATTATTTCTGATATAGGACTAACGCAAAGTACAAAAGAACTAACTGTGGTAAAGCTTTAACCAACTGGAATTTATGGGTTCAGCCTTGCGCTCATCACCCTGCAGTCTGCAGTAACCACTGGGTTGGACCTCAATGAAAACATAAGGCCCTTCCCATTTGGGGTTGAACTTTGGGGCAGAGGTGTTGTGCATAATGTGTTTGGCAGCTTTAAGAACAAGGTCACCGACCTGGAAGGTACGAGGTCGTACATGCTTTTTATAAGATTTTGCCAAGGTATGTTGGTAGACCTTGAGATGTTGGCGTGCTAAAGCTGTCGTTCATCTAAGGCCTCAAGACGAGTGAAGTGGTCGACCTCGCTTCGAGCAGCCAAAGCAGCAGCAGGAATAGCAATCTCGATTGGGAGAATAGCTTCTGTGCCATACAGGAGAGAAAAAGGAGTTTGGCCTGTTGCGCGCTTTTTGGAGGTGCGATGTGCCCAAAGAGCTAAGGGCAGCTGATCGACCCAATTAGACTTGTGCTCGGCGACCGTGTGACTAATGATTTTAAGGAGAGATTTGTTGGTTGCTTCAGCTTGGCCGTTGCCTTTGGGATAGTAAGTAGAAGATCGGCGCTGTGTGATGTTATATTGCTGAAGAAGCTGAGCAACCCGATAATTAACAAAGGGGGTGCCATTGTCTGAGAGGATGATCGCTGGGATGCCAAACTGGCAAATGATATTTTCACGAATAAAGGCTGTAACAGCGATGCCTGTGGCATGGCGCAAGGGGATGGCTTCAACCCATTTGGAAAAGAAATCTGTAGCTGTGAGGATCCAATGCATTTGACGAACTGTAGGATTGATTTGGCAATGAGGTCCAGACCCCAAGTGTGGAAGGGCCAAGGGGCGGCAAGTGGATGAAGTACTGTTGGGGGAGTATGTATCCGATGGTGATGGTATTGACACGGTTGACATTGTTGGACAAGCATCTTAGCATCGTGCTCCATAGTTGGCCAGTAGAGCCCTTTGTGGATCAAGTGTTGAAATAATTTGTAGGCACCCTGATGCTCGAGGGAGTGAGCTTGATGAAGTGCTTCACGGATCTCAGCGCGAGCAAGGCATCGCAGGAGGTGCCCTTCGCGAGAGAGGCGGAACAAATGACCATCGCAAACTTGGAAGCGTGGGGGTTGGTGCTTGAGCTTGGCGGCCAAGGTTGGATTGTCTGGGCGATGACCATGTTGGAGGTAACGAATGAAGGGGGTCTGCCAATCAGCCAACTCGAGCTCGAGGACCTCAGCCGCATTAGGGCATTTCTGCCAGGCAACACATGCGCGCTGCAACGCGGCAGCCTGACTGGACATTTGAGGCCAGTAATAGCCTTGGCACTGGAGTCGCCGGTAAAGAGCGATATCAGTAGTGGCACAATGTTGCTAATGAACACGGTGAAGAACTTCACGAGCCTCGGCGTCCCCGAGACAGCTACTGAGGATGCCAGAGGGGGATCGATGATAAAGGACTCCTTGGATCAGATGAAAGCATTTGAGCTGAGCAAGGGATAATGAACCGGTGAAGGTCTGCATTTGATCGATAATTGGGCGTCGCCAATCAGTAATATCTTCAAGAGGGAGCAAACTGGCGATGGCAGGCTGTGTTTGTTTATGAACAGTGATTTGTTGTGTGGTGCCAGAGATGTCAAGTTTGGAGGCGAGCGTAGCAAGAGCATCGGGATATCGATTGACAGATCGAGAGACATGAGCCAAGCGAACGGTGGTGAATCGAGAGAGAAGCTTTTGAATTATTGTGCGATACGAGGCCAAAGAGGGCTCTCAAATTGCAAATTCATCTGAAGTCTGTTTGACAATCAACTTTGAGTCGCCATCGATGCATAACCGGGAGACCTGTTTATCGAGTGCTTTTAATAGCCCCAGGATGAGTGCTTCATATTCAGCTTTGTTGTTAGTGCACTTGAAGTCAAGTTTGACAGCAGTGGTAGAGGTGAGGGTCGGGCAGGAGAGCACAATGCCCGTGCCTCCGCCCTTTGTGGTGGAAGAACCGTCAAAAGACAAGTGCCATTCCTGAGCTTGCTCGAGAGAGGCGACCTGTAGGTCATCGAGAGGTAACTGTTCATCCACGGGCTCATGAGCTGCGTTGGGGAATTAAGCGAGCAAATCTGCGAGAGCTTGACTTTTAATGGCCTTCGGCTGTTGGCAAGTGATGTCAAATTCTTCTAAGGAGAGAAGCCATCGTGCGGCCTTGCCTGTAAGCATAGCTTTGGAGAGGAGGTGCTTGTAGGGATCACATTTAGTGATGAGAATGATGCGATGGGCAAGGAAGTAATGCCGGAATTTGTGCGCGGCAAAGACTAAGGCGAGACAATGCTTTTCAATAAGGGAATACTGTTCTTCAGCGTCACGGATCAGACGACTAATGTAATAGATCGGGCGTTCTTGATTATCAATGTCCTGTGCGAGCAGTGCCCCAATGGATCGAGGTGTAGAAGTAACATACAGGAAGAGGGTTGGTCTTTTTGTGGAGCATGCATGATCTGAGGGGACAATAGCACGTGCTTGATCCGCTCGAAGGCGGCCTGATGAATATCCGTCCATGAGAACTTCACTTTTCCCTTAACAAGGGTACTAAAGGCGTGTGTGGCCTCCGCGAGGGCTGGCAGGAATCGACGAAGATAAGAAACTTTGCCCAGAAAGCTCTTCAGCTGCTTAGAAGTCGTTGGAGATGGCATGTCAAGAATTGCTTTGGCTTTTGCTCGATCGACCTCAATACCCTGTCAAGTGACCATAAAACCCAAGAACTTGCCATGGTTGACGCCAAAGGCACATTTGAGGGGATTCATTTTGAGATTATATTGGCGGCAACGCTCGAACACTTGGCGTAAGTCATGGAGGTGATTGGCTTTCTGTTTAGACTTGACCACCAAATCGTCCACATAATCTTCGAGATTGTGATGGAGTAGATCATGGAAGATAGCAGTCATGGCTCGTTGATATGTGGCTCTTGCATTTTTTAAACCGAAAGGCATGACAGTGAAGTGGAAATTACCAAGAGGCGTTCGAAAGGCTGTCTTTTTTGCATCACCGTCGGCCATCCGGATCTGATTATAACCACTAAAACCATCCATGAAAGAGAACATTTCATGGCCTGCAGTGCCATCGACCAGAGTATCAATAATGGGCAAAGGGAAGTCATCCTTTGGGCAGACCTTGTTGAGATCCCTGAAATCAACGCACACCCTGAGTTAGCCATTCTTCTTCTGCACAAGAACGATGTTGGCTAACCACGTGGGATGGATGATAGGCTTGATGAAGTCGACTGCTAACAACTTTTGGACCTCGTCTTTAATTTGCAACTCAAGCTCTGGCCGGATGGTTCGCGAGCCTTGTTTAACTGGGCGAACGTTGGGCAAAACGTTGAGATGATGGGAGACCAGCGAAGGATGAAGCCTTGGCATCTCGCTGTATGTCTATGCAAATACATCGCGAAATTCCTGCAAGAGAGACACAAGGTGAGATCTATCTTGAGAGCTGAGTATACCCGAGAGGAACGTGATGCGAGGCGGCTCATTGGGATGGGCAAGATTAACTTCAACGAGATCCGGTAGTGGTGCTTTCTTGAGAATTCGAGGCTGATACGCTGGGGGTCAGTAGAGTGAACCTCTGCTGACCCCGGGCACCGTCATAAACGGTAGATGACACGACCGTTGGGGAGGCGAACGCGTTTGCATTCACGTGGGGCATCGCTTGTCTGAACGGGAGAGGGAGGGTGAAAAATGCCCTTTGGGCGTCAGCCCAGGTGGGTAGAGGAGTACTGATAATGGTTGCATCGCAGTCTTGCGCGTAGTCATCAAGGTCATCGAAGAATAACGCATCCGTGTAATGAGCCTCAGAGGTGGCAAAAGGGCGATCAGAACAGGGGACAGTGACAACCTTGTTATTCTAGATGCCTTTGAAACGTTGATGGTAAGTGGAAGGGACAATGCCAAAGCGGTGCATCCATGCGCGTCCCAGAAGGATGTGATAAGAAGTGTCGCTGTCAATAACGTGGAACTTCGTGGAGGTTTGGAATTTGTTAACAGCTAGATCAACATTAACATAGCCCATCGTGTGACGAAGATCATTGAAAAATCCTGCGAATTCGATTGGCTCTTTGACCAGACGATCCTCGGAGATGCCAGCCTTGCGAAAGGTGGAGAGGGGCATGACATTGATGGAAGAACCATTGTCAAGAAAAGCGCGCTTGAATTCTACTCCCTTGATAGAAGCCAGTACATACAATGGTCGATTTTGGGCACCTGGGCTCTGTTTGTCAGCATCGGAAAAGGATAAAGTTTTCTTTTGTGCAGGAGAGTTGGGTTTAACAGAGGCGACCAAAGGACACATATCTGCTTTTGAAGAAGGCTCTGCCTCATGCCTGAATTTGTTTCTGCAAGTTCATCATAGCAGGTGATAACAGCTACACGATGATCAGGGTACGAGAACTGACGAACATCCTTAGGAGGGGTGACTTCAAGATCACCAGTTGCCATTCGCCGTTGAAAGAGGCGGCGCAAGCCCCAGCAATTAATAGTGGGATGAGTAACACTTTGATGGTAAACACAGAAATCAGCGTTAGCTCGATCTGCCGGGGTGGGCTCGCGATGCGGGGTAGGTAGAACAACATTGCCATCCTTGACCCATTGGGTGAGAGTATTCTTAACTTCCTCAATACGGATGGGGAAAGGTGGTGGTTTCTCGCCTTGTGGCTTGAATTGGGATTTGTCAAACCGCTTTCGGGGGCGTTCCTCAATGGTCGCTGTAGGTGTAGGCCTGCGATTGGAAGGCTTTGGAGCTTCAAACTTAGGGGCATCATATTTTGGAGGCTCATACTTAGCGGCAATTGGTTTGAGATCCTTGAGATTCCGGGTTGCAATCTTGAGCTCGCCAAAGCTAGCTATCCTTAGGTTGACAAGGTGGAGCTTGTAAATCTGCAGCATGCCCTGGATGCAAATATCAACCAAGTCCATTTCATTACTACTTTCAAAGCATTCACCTGCATGGTCTTTGAACCGATTGATAGAGGCAAGGATGTCCTCATTGTCCTCTTGAGCCTCCTTTGTGAGAGACAAGGTGGTGACCCGTTCTTTAGCCTGGAAAAACTTAGTGAGGAAGCGATCTTTCAGTTGCTCCGAGGTACTGATGGAGTCTGGTTCGAGATTAAAATACCAACGGTAAGCTCAATCAGTTAGAGATTTAGAGAACTCGCGTAGACGAACCACATGATTATCACCGAAATGACCCAAAGCCTCAACAAAGCGCATGACATGTTCCCTAGGATCACCGGTCTTGCCATTGAACTGGGGGAATTTGGGGACCAAGTATCCCTGTGGATATGGAGTCTGTGCAATAGTAAGAGGGTAAGGAGGCTCACTGCCAAAGTCTAAGGCACGAGAAGTTGGGGTACCTTTCTTGAAAAGATCGCGCACTTCAGAACGTGTGAACACTTCTTTTGGGGCGGAGTAGGAATAGGAGGGGAGAGGACGGTGTGCCTTAGGGTTCGCCTGGGCATAAGTGGGTGGGGAGCAAAACATAGGTTCTTTGCCTTAAGACAGGAATACTCGAGGAGCCATAGGGGTTACCTGTAATTCAGGGTTGTAAAGCTTTGGAATGGGCTGTGACAGATCTGCACTACGATCTTGAACTTTTGGGGACTTCGTGAGTTGCTGCTCATGTAATGGAGGCAAAGTCACACCAGTTGGGGTACTCGTACCGAACATCATCTGAGTAGCTGAAGGGAGCTCCGTTGGAATTATAGTCGGCGTCGCCGAGACCCTCCTGTCAAGAACACGGAGAGCTTCCTCAAACTTCTCCATTCGGGTCATCAGTTGGTGATTTATGTTCTGCATAGCCTCCAAGACAGCATCGGTGCTAAATCTGTGTCTGGATTTTGAAGAGTGAGACCTTGTGCTAGTAGCCTTAGTGCTA